TYKTTGTGMWGTATTAGGCTAAGATATTGTGAGGTGTTAGGCTAAGATATTATATCCTGTTCAGTCAATGGTTTCAGTTTTCATTAGTGACTAGGTAGATCTGACCATTTGGCATGCAATATATTATTTGTAAGCATTTATGAGTAAGGTTTACTGTCTCGATCGTTCCTTCTACAATGTTTATGAGTTATCAGTAGCTTTATGATCATCTAGTATATTTTAAGTAGATCTTTCCTTGGCAGTGCTTTAGGCCCTCTTGATTTATCCTTGTCCCGTATGTAGGTATCAATTCAAATGCTTCGTTGAACTTATATCCTAACCTTAGATAACATTGAAGAGGACATGCATGCCTTGCAGCTCAACTCATTTGTTTTGTACATGTTTCTAGTTTCGTTGCTGCTAGGATTTTCATTGATCTCTTTTTTTTTATCTATTCTAAAGGCTATGTTATGGATTGTATACGGATTTTTCTACATGAATATGCAAAAGTTAATTTGATGGCACACTTATAATCATGATAGCTTTACGGGATGTGGAGATCATCAATTTCTGTGATGTTATTGAATTATTTTATTAAATGCTAGCTGAAGATAGTAATATGATGCCTAATACCAATGGTGGGAAGCCTGAAGAGTCTGTAGTCACTGATGATATGGAAGAAGGTAAGGAACATTCATCAATTCAGTATTTTATTAGTTTTTTTTTTTGGACATTTATGTTATGAAGGCGTGTTGGAGGTAACATTAAGGAAGATGAGTCTGATGCCACTTGTGGCGGTCTTCGTTACTTGTGGATGTTTTTATCTTGTTGTTATCAAAACCAACATTGTAACCTCATAAATAACCTTCCCAAACAAAGTGTTACACTTGGATATAATTCCTGGGGATTGAATGCTTTGAGCTTTTTTTTGGCGACTCTGTAGATCTATCCAAACATTTGGCATGTGATAATTTTTTGCCAGCATTGGTCAATAAGGTTAAATATCTTGATCTTACTATCTATAGCTTCTGAGGTTATCAACATCTTATGATCAACTAGCGAGTCAAGAAGGTCCCACTTCTTCAGCGTTTAAGGTGTTCTTTTTATTCCTTGTTTCTCTGTTTATCTCCTTCCCCATCTCTCTTCATACTAGGTAACACATTGAAATATTACCTACATTCTCTCACTCACCTTTTGGAGAAATTTTTGGTCAAGTAACTTGTTCATGACTGGTTGTCATTCTGCCATATAGGAAGATGATGTTATCAGGTAATATGATTTCATGGATATAATATATAGAACTTGTACCTTGTGGGTGTTTAGACTCGTAGGATGAGTCATGTACCTACTCTCACATGCTGATCCCTAACTGTGTATTCTGACCCAAACCTGCTGTGTAAGGTTTGTTATTGGTATGTGTGTATATTTGTATGTTTGATCTAGGCGCTACTTATACTGTTAGTTCTTTGTTTATTCTTTTTAACAAGCTTGTAATGTTTATTGGTCACAGGAAAAGAACAGGTGGCTTCAGCTTCTGCTTCTGCTTCTGCTTCAGAACATATTGAGGATGAGGTGGGGGGTAATATGAAAAAGCGACACTTGAATGTTGTATTCATTGGTCATGTTGGTATGTTAATCGTTTCTAAGTTCATCTTCAAGATGTTTGAATTTCGAACATTCACTTTTGTTTCAGTTATGTATGCACTCAATGTCCATGCCTTGTGTTAATCATGCTGCATCAGTGTGGCCTATGGTTGCAATTCTATGGTTGCATCTTTTTTTTTTTCATTTCTGAATGAACTGTAGCTAATATACATTTATTTGTATATGATTGTTATTTACTGAGTGAACAAAGATTTGCCATCGCACATGTTGGAATTAAGTCAGACTATCATCTTAGAAGCACAAACATTTGACATTTTCGAACTTTCACTTTACAGTTAGTGATCCAGTTATTAAATGTTCTATTAATCAGATCTGGTTGTCTCTATAGAGTATTCACTTTAAGTTTTTATCTTAGTTCCCAATCTGTTTTGTGTTTTTGAGCTTTCTCCATTCCTAAGATCTCTAATTTTCTACGTAAAGAGTTAGTTATGTCATGTGTCACAGTGTTACCAATTCTCATAATTTTTAAGGGCTTATTTTGTTTTTTTTCTGCTTATGTAGTTAAATAAATGGCATATGATTTGCACTTAATTAAATTAATGTTGAACTTGCATTTTAGTCGTGTCAATCTTAGTTGTCTATAGTTTCTTTACCAACTGTTTGGAATAAAGGTTACAAATTTCATGTTTTTCTTTTTGGTCCTATTTTGGAGGCGGAGTGGTGTTAGGTGGAGGGAGTCAAGGGTTTTGCTGGTTCTTTCTCCTGGGATATTGTGGCTATGTTCTGATGTGATATTATTATTAGAAATAAAAAAACTATTCTCTTAGACTACCTTTTACAACGTTTGCGCAATATTGTTTTAGGTTTATATTTGGTTTCATGTTTCTAATGGCAAAACACTATTTAACAATTTCTGTCGACTCTTGTTTTCTGGTTCATTTTTTAGTCTTCTAGGAAGAATGTTTTTTTAGAATTATTTACCTTCACTCATATTTACAGGAAAATGCTATCTTTTTAGGTATTGTGGAGCTCAGAGCTTAGTTAACTGAATATTTAGTTAAATGTTCATCAAATCTAGTTGGAAAATTACTTATTTGTTACTTTTTATGTGGAGTGAAGATGCTGGAAAGTCTACCATTGGAGGTCAGATACTATACCTCAGTGACCAAGTTGATGAACGCACGATCCAAAAATATGAAAAAGAAGCCAAGGATAAAAGTAGAGAGAGCTGGTAAGGCCTTGTTGATCTTGATCTTTTGAATATGAAATGAATCTAAATTCTGCAATAGTACTTTGCCTTCTTTGTTGTGACCTATTGTAAGTTGTACCATTGCTGCTTTGTGCTTGCACACATATATAGACATATATGTGCACCTTGTATGGTTACATTCATTTTGTTCAGAGTGTCTCTTTCTTTTGTATTCTTCAAGTGGATTTGCCTGATTCTCTTTTGGGGAGGGGGAGAATGGTTTGAGTTGCTCTTTCCTTGTTTACTCATTTTGCACACTAAATTTACTTCATGATATGACGTTGAATTTGGTAACTGTTGGATGTTTGCTTGAGCTGGGTTGGCTGGCAGTATAGCTCTATGATGAGTACTAAGTATGATTCTTCAACAAAGCATTCTGCAACATTTATGTGACCTAACATTGTATCCTCACTACTAATATGATTGAGATCTATGTGCATGTTGCCCATGAACCAACAACTAATATATTTTTCATTGATTTGTACAAAGAAAAACGTCCTATCAGATTTTTTGGAGTATAAAAAAATTAGTATATAATTCATGCTACTTTCAGTCTCATCTTTATCCAATTTATGGTCGCAACATTTCCTATCTTGGAGTTATCGAACATTCACCTATGCCCTAGGCTCCACTAATCCGAAGGGGAATGTGAATCAAGTTTTGATGTTCCTCTTTTGGTCGTAGAATAGTTTGCTTAGCTACTTGATTCATGAAGTGCACTTCGTTTTAATCGGAAACAAGGGGAAGGGAATAAGGTGACACAAAGATGTATGACTTAAAGTGATACATTCTCCTTTGTTGAACTAAGAGCATCCACAATGGAGGTTTCTGTTGAGGTTCTTGGGTTTTTTACAAACCTCCAACTGTGGGACATAGGTTCTTGTCCAGTCGCTTCTTATTAGAATCTAGGTGCTTGAACCAGAATTCGGGTTTTTGTATACATTGCTTTTCTGTTATTATTTTAATTATTTCTTAACCATTTTATTTTAATAAATCTATAAAACATATAAAAAAGTTATAAATTGATATTTTTCGTTTCTTGTAAATTTTTATACAAGTTTTTGTACTAACAAGTTTAATTTTTGATTATCTCATTATCTCATTATATTATTTTGTCGAAGAGGTAGATAATTCAACATAAATATTTCAAGGATCCACCCATGAATTTGTTATGAACCAGAAAACAAACATAGGAATAGTAATCAAGGGTTGCCAAAAGCTTTCATTTATTGGAAAGAAAAGTAACTACCAATTCGAGAAGCTAGGGGTCTCCCAAAATAAAGCCAATTTCTGCAAACCTCTCCTCACCCAACTTTCTATTTAACATGACATATAACAGAAATAGTAAGTAAAATTCCATCAATATCCTCAGGGAATAATCCCCTACATCCAAAACTGACCACTGCCTTATTCCCCATCACATGTGGTCATGTCCCAACCTTCTTTCAAATGAAGTTCATCCTCAACTTTGCTCCTAGTATAGGTAAAATGAATTGGTGGAAGCATTGCAGAATTCTAAAAGTATCTCCAACAAAATTCTAAGATGCGCTCAAATGAAGTTCATCCTCAACTTTGCTCGACTGGTTGAACATATTTGGTCGAATCAAGATTATGAGTGATTTTTATATTACTATTTATTATATAGTGTTACTTTTTACGAAGATCAATATTTGTGTAATTTTGCACTTTTTTTAATTGTAGTATAAAATTATGTTTATATTATAATTGTTTTTCAAATATGTTAACAAAATATATAAATTAACAAATTAAAATTAATATAAGAAGTGAAAATTAATAAATTATATTTGAATTTTTTTATAATTTTATAATATATATATATATATTAAATATATATATTAATCTATAATAAAACTATATTTTATAAAGTTTAGAAAATGGAAAGTGAGGTTTTCCAAAAACCTCCACTGTGGAGTTCTATTGAGGTGGCAATGATGTGGCAGGAAAAAATATGGCAAGTGAAGTTCTTAGAGGTTCTACCACTGTGGATGCTCTTAGAAGCCTTCGGGATTGACTCAATTTTTGTTGTTGCATGTACGGTATCGAGGGGGGGGGGAAGTTTGTGTCTATACATGTAGTATGGTGGTTGGGCCTGCCCACCCTATTTGTTCCATGATCTATGGGTCTACTGGAGCTACTCTTCTTCATCAATTAGCCAAGATTTTGACCAGATATGAAATCACTTGTGCTTGATGCAGTGGTATTGTTCGAAAGACTTTCTCTTTACCACCAAAGGGCTTTTGGCCTAGCGGTATGCGAGTCTTTGGTCTTCTAGGAGGTTAGGGGTTCAAACCTCACCAAAGGTGAGGAGGGGGTGTGAGTTTATTTGTTCTATTTGCCGTAATTATATATATATATATATATATATATATTGTACTTCAAAAAAAGACTTTCTCTTCACCTTACCCTTTGCATATTCATCTTTTCAAAAGCCCAGACCCATTCTTCTTAATCTGCATTAGTCTTATTCTGGGTGGTTCGGCATAAGCTTCAAATTGTGGACTATTGATCAAGACTTTCATTTCTATCTTTCTTTGCTCTCTCCTTTTGCTACTTATTCCATTTTTATATAAAATTTTGTATTCTTGTTCATTTTAAACATGCGGTTTTTGGTTTTGAAAAACTTGATTGTCATTATGTCATTATTCTTTTGTTCCTTTTCTTAATTCTAGGTACATGGCATATATTATGGATACCAATGAGGAGGAGAGGGTTAAGGTATTAACCTACCCCTTTATGTTGACAATTTCAACGTTTTGGCAAATGGTTATTCATTACTTGTTTGTTCACATGTTCATATCTTTTTTAGTTGTTGCTATTTTTGTTTAAATGTCACCTGTTTATCTTCTAATGTTAAATGCTTGCTATAGGGGAAAACAGTTGAAGTTGGAAGAGCACATTTTGAGACGGAGAATACACGATTTACCATATTGGATGCGCCGGTAACTTTTTCTTGATCTACCTGTAATCTTTTCATCATCAACAATTACAAGATAGAATGCAAAATTTTGAGCTTTTCCGGTTAATCTTTCGTATGAGACACATGCATGATGCTACCTAAGTAATAATCATATTAAATTATTAAGGTAAAGTAGGTTTGCTCCTCTCAACATATATGTGTGCTGTACTTTGTGATGGATTGTCATATTGATGAGGATGTCGTCTTGCAAACTTGGTGCTACTTGTATCTCACAAGTGACAACTTTTTATATTACCCTTCTTATCAGAGGATGTATTAAAGAGCTGAAAATTATGCAAAACGAGTTGCCATCTTAAAATGATTTTCTCTTATCAGTGAACCCAGCGAGTTTGGGTGGGCCTGCAACTGTGTGTGTTGGGTTGCAAACCTATGTAGTTGAACCAAACCCATTTTAAGCCAAATTACAAATTTTGTATGTCATTCTGTATTCAACGCAAACCTAATAGTGGTTTCAATGAGTTGTGTTGGTTGAAATCGGGTTGGACTACTTGGGTCAACCAAGCTAGAAGTACTTGGATGAATTATCTTTTTTCTGTAGCTTCCTGGTTTTTGTAGATCCTATTTCTCTCCAAAATTATCATGGTACTTTTTTTTCTCTAAAATACTATACTCATTTCTAGAACTGTTGTTGAACCTAAACCGACTCTCTTATATACAGAAACACACAAGCACTCGGTCTAATCATTGCATTCCCGCTCTCTTTGAAACATACTTACTACAAGCTCATCCTCAAATGTTATGAAAACCAACTCATAACTCTCTCCACACACCCTAAAATTGTCTATTCCTTGATTATCCATTTGAAGTAATCACTTCCTCATCACAGATTTACATGTAAATGCTATTTCTACTTTCTTCACTTTGTATGGAAATTCACTCTTTCACTCTAGATTTGTGGATACATTTTTCTCTCTAGAAGATTCCTTTTTCTTAAAGTTCACACTCTATAATAATATATAGGTATCTCTTCTCCATCTAGAATAACCTATATTACCCCTTTCTACATATACAGGAACATTTTGATTCGATAAGAAATTCATATCTCTACTGAATGGCAGATGCACTATTCTTTCAAGAATTCCATGTTTCTCTATCTAAACTGTAAAAGTTAATACACTTTTTGTCTCAGAAACGTATTTGTGTAAGAAATCCCACTCTCTCAAATAGTATATATAGATGTATACATATTTTCTATTTTTAAGTTCACCCTCAATTGACACTCTCCGTCAAGGTTTTAAAGTACGTAAACGTGAGGCAAGGCGTAAGCCTCAAGGCGGTCTGAGGCGTAAGCCCCAAGGCGGAAAATATAAAAATTATTTTATGTATATTAATACACATCTAATAATAGTATTAAAATCTCAAAATATATTGATAGATGTAGTTGATATTATAAGATTTTAGTTTTATCACTTGTTAAAAATACATAATATATATACAAAGTACAAACAAAGAAAACCTATCGGGACGGTGGACAATGGCTACAAAATGTAATAATATATTAACCCACATAATATTGTCAATACACAATGCTATAAATAAATTATGTTTTCTTACTCAAATTCTCCATTTTAATATATATATATATATATATATTTTATATTTCTCGCACTTTGAATATATATAAATACACACACACACAATGTGGGAGACTTGAGAACCGGATAAGAGCTCGTAAAAGTTAAAATGAAGGCGATGAGGTGTACGGAGAACTGTAGAAGAAGTTGCAAAGGACTGGAGCATATGAGGTGAATGGAGAACTGCAGAAGAAGAACTCGCAAAGGATTAGAGGAGATGAGCATGAGGGAGCAGAGAGAAATCTATATATTTTAAACCCTAAATCCATAATACCTGAGCTTCACCTCAGCCCCGCCTCATGTGCCTTAAACCGAATTCATCCTCATTTGAGTTTGACAATGAACCATATAACCCACATCATAATTTTGGGATAAAGTCACTGTTACTGGTCCATCGATAACCTAAGATGATTATTGTGATGCCTTGAGGTAAGAACATTGTAATTATAGTGACAATGCATTTTATTATTCTGATCTTCAATGCTGTTTATTCTTGATTGCCTTGATGGGTGGAAAAATTTATTTTGCCATTAAGAAGGAACAACTCAAAGTTCACTTGAGGGTGTTTGTGTGGTGGGTTCATAAGCACTTGTTGAGAACTTTGTTTTTGCTGTGTAGAAGATAACTCGTTTCTTATTGTAACTATGGAATATTTGTGGCTGGGAAGTTTATAATTGTTTCTTGCGATATGCAATATGATCACATTAATACATACATGTAAGGTTCATCAAGTAATTAATCTTCATATTCTTGTTATTTATCCTGTTTTTGTTAGCGATAGCAAGTTCATAGCTAATGTTAGTTATTCGAATCGTAGAGTTGTTTGGTGTTAACCTTTCAATAATGGCTTTATTTATGTTGATTTATGTTTGGTCTCTTGTGAAATGGAGTTTTGGTAAATTTTTGGTTTGGATGGGGCTTTTTTTTGGGGGGGGGGGGGATCATTAAAATACGATAATATATTTTGTACGCTGTCTCGAAGAAAATTTTGCTTTCTTATCTGTAAGTTGTGTGTAGCAGAAAACTTGCTAGTTAGTTGTCTTGATGTAATCCAGAAGTACTTCTAATTTATTTGAAATCACCTAGTTCATGAAAAATGAGAGTTCCTCAAGTTGCAGTAAATGGCATTAATCATTATTATAAGCTTATAAGCAGATGGGGCTTTCATAGTTTCATTTAGAAGATAATCGATGAACTTGATGTTAAGCAGTCATGCAAGTTGTACATGCAAGTGATGTTCACCTTTTTCATTTAGAATATATATTGTTTTCCCTTTTTATGTGAAATAGTCATTTATGATACATTTTTTGGTGTTTTCAGGGCCACAAAAGTTATGTACCGAATATGATCAGTGGTGCTTCTCAAGCTGATATAGGCGTATTGGTAAAAGCTTATGCTTCTAAGCACCCTAGTTGTCTTGTACTGTGATCACTTGGTATCTATGTTTATTTCTTCTCTCTCAGGTTATATCTGCTCGGAAAGGGGAATTTGAAACTGGATATGAGCGAGGTGGCCAGACTCGTGAACATGTACAACTCGCAAAGACTTTGGGTGTTTCTAAGCTGTTTGTTGTTGTCAATAAAATGGATGAGCCCACTGTTAACTGGGCAAAGGAGAGGTGCTTGTTTTTGTTTTGCATTTTCTTTTGTTGCATGATAAGCATGTGGCTATTTCTTTTCTTCAATGCTGTCTATTTCTACAGGTATGATGAAATTGAAGCAAAGATGGTTCCATTCCTGAAGTCCTCAGGCTACAATGTGAAGAAAGGTGAACACATTCTTTTCTTATACTATTGTATTCTTTGCATATTGATCGCACACTCTTTGATGCTGCCAACTGACCACTAAATAATGAGCTATTCAGTTTTTTATGTTGTTGCTCTTTTGAGTAATTTCTTGAAGTACGACTGTTGTGAGTTGTGACACCCTTATTTATGCATTTGGAACAAATGAAAACCGCAAGCTTGGTAAATTAAGTACCTTGAGGTTATATACTGCATTATTTTTGTTGAACAAGATAATTTTTAATTTTTTTATATCTTCTCTAGGACTTCGACTTCTTCGTTTTTGTTAGATGTGGCTTTAATTGAATTAGTTAGTTTTATTTTTTTGTTTAGCATATCTTGACTGTTACCAATAAATAGTTGGATATCCTCATTTTGTAAAGTCTAGCCTCAATTCGTAAATAAGATTCCTGCAATTCTCTCTACATAGCTTTCTCTAAATTCTCAACAAACTGGTATCAGAGCGTGGTGATCAAAGACTCGCTTATGTTGGTTCTGGATTTTTTTTCGATTCTTGATTCTGCAATTAATCAAGACTGCTTCTGCGATTGATCAAGTCGACCTGTATTTTGAAATTGCTTCTTCCGATTGCAATCTTGGCAATCAATTGCGTCAATCTTGAAATTCAATTCAAGGCAGCGAGATTCAAGGTGGAGCGACAACTGAAATTGGTGATCAATTGGTTTCTGGAATTTGAAATTGACGATTGATTGCGAAGCATATCAGAAATTGGTGATCGATTGGAGGCTCGAAATTGAAATTGGCGATCGTTTGGAGTCTCGCAAATGAAATTGGTGATCGATTGGTGACAGGCTATTGTGAGTAGGTGATCAATTGGCAACGAGTGTTTGATTCGGTTCAATCAAGATTTTGGTGATGCCTCCACAAATGATCAAGATCGACAAGTTTACTGGGAAGAATAATTTCAGCTCATGGCGAATCAAGATGAGAGCTCTCCTAAAACAAGGAATTGGACTCCCTTGGCTGGTGAAAGATCTGCAAATATGGCCGACGCTGAGTTCAATCAATAAGATGAGAAGGCTCACAGCACCATCTTGTTGTTCTTGGTCGATGAAGTGATTTACGAGGTCGCAGATGAGGAGACTGCTGCGTCTTTATGGTAGAAATTAAGAGCCTCTACATGACCAAGTATTTAATGAACAAGTTGTTAAATGATGGTGGGAATGCCTTTGAAGGAACATCTTGACGAGTTAAACTCCATTCTTATGGATTTGAAGAATGTTGAAGTCATGATTGAAGATGAGGATGCCACCCTCATCTTATTGGTTTCGTTGCCCACTTCATATGAAAATTTTGTCAACTCGTTCGTTGTTGGTAGAGACACAATTACAATGGAAGAAGTTCGTTCAAGTCTGCACTCACGAGAGTTGCGACATAAAGCTTCAGGAAGTAGTTTCGAAATTCAATTGCTTGGCTTGTCGATGGTAAATGAAGATGGAGACAGAGGTAGAGAAAAAGGCCGAGAGAAAGGAAAAGGGAAGTGGAAAATTAGAGGCCGATCAAGATCGCAGAACCAGGTCATTGGAAAAATGAGTGTCCAAAACTAAAGTCAAAAGGATCCACTGCTGTAGCAAAAGATGATTCGGGTTCGGAGGCTGATTTGGTGCTCTCAGTGTTTGATTGCAGAAGTCGGTCAGATGTATGGATTCTTGATTCTGCGTGTTCATTTCACATGACACCACATAAGGATTGGTTTAAAACTTATGATAAGATTGCAACCGGAAATGTCTTGATGGAAATGACATGCCATGCAATGTTGTTGAAATTGTCGGTGAGCATTAAATTGCATGATGGGATTGTGAGAACTCTTAACAGATGTTCGTCATGTATCCGGGTTGAAGAAAAACTTAATCTCTTTGGGAGTGTTTGACTCAAAAGGCTTCAAGTACACCGGTTGAGGGTGGAGTAATTCGGGTCACTAAACGTGCTTTAGTAGTGATGAAAGGAGTCAAGAGAGGTACCTTGTATGTGCTGGATCAACAACACCAACCATTAATTCTGTAGAGAATGAGTCAGATTTGACACGTTTGTGGCACATGAGGCTAGGGCATGTTAGTGAGAAACGCATGGTAATTCTCAGCAAGAAAGGACTCCTTGGAGGTCATAGAGTTGCTGAATTGGGTGTGAGCATTGCATCTTTGGAAAACAGAGAGTGAGTTTCTCAAAAGCTGTCCATACAACCAAGTCGACTTTAGATTGCCTACACACTGATTGTTGGGGTCCCTTGCAAGTTCCTTCATTTGGTGGTGGTTGCTACTTTCTCTCAATTATTGACGACTACTCTAGGATGACTTGGGTATTTGTCATGAAGCATGAGAGTGAGTCATTTGAGAAATTTGAAGATTGGAAAGTTCTCATTGAAAATCAAGTTGGGAAGAAGTTAAAACGGCTGTGAATGGACAACGGATTGGAGTTTTGTTCAAGTGAGTTTGATCGGTTTTGTAAAGACGAAGGAATTGCAAGGCATCGAACGGTTAGACACAGTGTACAACAGAATGGAGTAGCCGAAAGGGTGAATAAAACGCTGCTGGAAAGATTGAGATGTGTGCTGTCAAATGCTGGGTTGAATAGAAGTTTTTGGGTAGAGTGTTAAACACGGTTTGCTACTTGGTGAATAGATACCGGACAACGGCAATTGATTGTAAAACTCCTATTGAGGTGTGGTCCGGTTAAGCCGGCTGATTACACGGGCTTAAGAATATTGGTTGTCCTTCATACTACCATGTTAATGAAGGAAAATTGGAACCAAGATCAAAGGAGGGGCTGTTTATGGGATACGGAATTGGAGTAAAGGGCTACAGAATTTGGTCTCTTGATAAAAGAAAGGTGATTCTCCGCCGTGACGTAGTGCTTGATGAGGAGAGTGTTACGTGGGGTGAGGTGTTCATCTACTCCAAGTGTTCAAGAGGAGAGTGTGTCCGAACAGCGGAACAGGTGGCATAGTTAAATGGTTCCGATGAAGACGAGAATACTGCTGGACATCACAGTAACTCGCCTCAACCAGAACCTGTTGTGCATGAAAATCAGCACCAGCTTGCAGAATTTTGATCTATAGCATTAGATAAGCCTCGAAGACAAGCTGGTAGGCCAATTCGATATGGTTTTGATGACATGGTGGCCTATGCTCTGCAAGTTGCCGAAGAAATGGAGGTCTTTGAGCCATCTACTTACAAAGAAGTAATCAGAACGAAGGAGGCTGATGTGTGGATAACAGCCATGAGTGAAGAGATGGAATCCCTTCACAAGAATAGAACTTGGGAGTTAGTAAAGTTATCTGAAGGCAGAAAAGTTGTGACCTGTAAGTGGATCTGTAAGCAAAAAACAGGGCTGCCAGGAGCTGAAAGTGTGGGATACAAGGCATGTTTGGTGTCTAGAGGTTATAGAAAGAGCAAGGGGTTGATTATGATGAAATTTTCTCGCCGGTGGTGCGTTATACATCCATTCGGGTGCTGTTGGCACTAGTAGCGCAAGCAAATTTGGAGTTGGAACAATTGGACGTCAAAGCGACTTTCTTACATGGTGAGCTTGAAGAGGAAATCTATGAGTCAACCGGAGGGTTTTGTAGCTCAAGGTAAAGAAAACTATGTTCGTAAGCTCAAGAAATCGTTTTATGGTTTAAAGCAATCTCCAAGACGGTGGTATAAATGTTTTGACAGCTTTATGGTGAGTCATGGATTTACTAGAAGCCCTTATGATTGCTGTATATATCATAAGAAAAGTGCTGATAGGTCACATGTGTATCTGCTACTTTGTGGACGATATGCTAGTAGCGACTCGTGATATGGTTGAAATTAAGAAGTTAAAAAGACTCCTTAATTTTGATTTTAACATGGAAGATTTGGGGGCTGCTCGAAAGATTCTCGGTATGGAGATTATCCAAGATAGATCTAGACGTAAACTTTTCTTGTCCTAGAAAAGTTACATTTTGAAGATACTTTCTCGATTTGATATGGCTTCTGCAAATCCTGTGAGCACGCCTTCATCGACAAATTTCAGATTATCAATGGCTTTGGCACCTCAAACCGAGGCTGAGGTGGAGTATATGAGCAAAGTTCCTTATTCTAATGCTGTAGGAAGTCTTATGTATGTCACGATCTGCACTAGACCTGACATAGCTCATGCTGTTAGTGTTGTTTCATGTTACATGGCTAATCTGGGGAAAGAATATTGGGTTGCCATGAAACGTATTTTTTGTCATCTCAAAGGCACAACTGATGTATGTCTCATTTTTGGTGGAGAAATAGATTGTATTGTGGCTGGATTTTCAGATTCTGATCACACAGCTGACTTGACGCACGGAGGTCATTAACGGGATATTTATTCACTGTTGGAGATGCCTTAGTGAGCTGGAAAGCGACGTTACAGCCGTCTGTTGTCTACAACAGAGGCTGAATATATGGCTCTTATGGAGGTTGCAAAAGAAGGAATTTGACCGAAAGGTTTATTTGGAGATCTTGGGTTTCGTCAAGATCAGACTGTAGTTTTTTGTGACAGCCTGAGTGCCCTTTGTCTTGTAAGAGACCAGGTGCATCATGAGAGAACGAAACACATAGATGTTCATTATCACTTTATACGTTCGGAAAGGAGAATATAAGTGAAGAAAGTGAAGACTGATGATATGCACTGACGAAACCAGCTTCTTTGAATAAGTTTAGGCATTGTTTAGATCTAAACATTGATAGCTGGAAGTAAATTTATTTGTACTAGAATTAAAGCCAAGGTGGAGATTTGTTAGATGTGGCTTTAATTGAATTAGTTAGTTTATTTTTCTGTTTAGCATATCTTGATTGTTACCTATAAATAGTTGGATATCCTCATTTTGTGAAGTCTAGTCTCGATTCGTAAATAAGATTCATGCAATTCTCTCTACATAGCTTTCTCTAAATTCTCAACAGTTTTCATCATAGAACAAGCCTTCTGTAAAAGTCCACAATTGTATATTTTGAACATAATATGAGCTTGAACTTTGTAAAGGTACTACATTGAAAAATGTTGCTTAATAGGTTCAAATGTTCTTATGATTTTAATTAGAACAAACTAGGTTCAACTTTTAAACATGGGCTCTTCTGTGGAAGGCATGGAATATAGACTTGTGTGGTCAGAAGGATCTCCGGGAGTTTTTATGGAGACATATTGGGAATTTTTCACTCATAAAAATTTGGTAGTATGTGTGCAACGAAGATCCATACAAACTTTAATCTTCCGTTAATGGAAAAATTCCTCTATTGTTTCATGGCAGTGGGATTCAGATGGAAACCACAACTTGATTAATACTAGTAGATGATGTATCCTAATATTTACCAGGAAACTAGTAACTTAAAGACAAGTAAAAGATGTGTCAAACCAAATAGAAATCAGTTAATTACCTACATAGATTTTCATATTGAATACCTTATTTATAAAGATAAAAAAGCAATAAAGACATTAAAGAAAAGCTTGTAAAGAGCAATATGCATCAAAGATTGTTTACATGCATGTTATTCTTATGCTAGGCATTGACAAGTATGATGACACTACAGATTATATGGCAAAACCAATCTTTCCACCGGTTCCCCCATAAAACTTGATAATTTTTTTTAGTTAGTCCATTCAACCTCATATTTATTTTCTTTTTTGTTTAGTTGACTTTTTTTGTCCGAGATTGTTACTTATTTTCTGTGTTCACATTTCTATTTTTATATTTCAAAAACTGTATATACAAATTAAATATAGGACAACTTTTTAAACACAATTGATTTTATAGTGACTAGTTCAATCGCATTTGAACGGGTGATTGGTTTTATGATAACAATCTTTTAACATGTGTTTATCATCTTATCACAATGGATTCCAAAACATGATATGATTACTTTTTAGGTCGATAAATCTTTAAACATGGCCAGTTTTCTAAAAATGCAATTACTTTTTTATGACAATTATTTTTCAAATATTACTACAAAAATTTCATCAAAAAAATCAACAACGTTTAAAAATATACGGTTATCGAAAGAGATCACATTTTAACAAACTTATTGCCATAAAAACTAGTAAAGTATTGACATTTCTTATCCTAAAAGAGTTGTCATGGCATTACAAAATTGTTTTCATAAAACTTGTGATGTTTCAAGTTTTTTTTTACATAGACAAGTATTCACATTTAAAAGATTTTTTGGACGAGACATGTTTTGGAGCTTGTTGTATCACTAAACAGTAATTGCTTCTGTATTTTCAGTTTTTTAAAATATAATATAAAATATTTAACTTGTAAAATAGAAGTAACAGTTTAATAAAATAAATAAAAGAATTATTGTAAACGATAGAAAGATGAAGAAAAAATTATGTTTTCTGTAACTTATAGTATACCAATAGTGTAATGGCGAGAAGTGGAGGAAAATGTGTCTTGCCACATATTTTGACATTTATGACCGGTTTTTTGAGATGAGTCGATACTTTGAAAACAAAACCATATTTCAGTAATGCGCTCATTAAGAATTAGCCGATAGTATGATAGGGAAAAGTTAGGTACTTGCATCCTCCCCAACTTCTCTGTTCTCAACTTTGTATCATGCCCTGAAGATTACAAAATAACAACAAAGTAAAAGTGGCCAAGATGCAAGGGAAAAACTTCTGTTTTAACATTTTGGGAAAGACCCCCTATATTAATATATTAAGAACCTCCCAGGTCTTGGTGTTCCTCTTTAAAGTTTAATGTTCTTCAGGATTTTGGATAGAGTTTCTCATAATCAGTACTTTGAATGTAATTGTAGTTGCTTTGAAATATATCCTATTTGCAGATATCCAGTTTCTTCCAATATCTGGTCTTCTTGGTGCCAATTTAAAAACAAGAGTGGATAAAAGTTTGTGTCCGTGGTGGGATGGTCAATGTCTATTTGAAGCACTAGATGCTGTTGAAGTCCCGTTGCGTGATCCTAAAGGTCCATTTAGGTATTATCTCTGATTCTTGTCACCATACGTATGCTTTTACAACCCTTAGTGGCCTAATCTCTTTTCTGCTTGTCTCTTTATTGGACCTGAAATCACAGTTTCTATTATTAGATTACAGATCGAAACATTACTAATGATTTCTTGTTGGTTGGATATTTCATTGTTATGTTGCTTGTTATTGATTTTCATTCTCGTCAGGCCTATTTTAAATCTTTTCTCAGGAAGTGAATAGTATAGGTATAGATTATTTTTTTAATATCTATGCTGATGTTTAATTTTCAGAATGCCTATTATTGACAAGTTCAAAGACATGGGGACTGTTGTTATGGGGAAAGTAGAATCTGGTAGTGTGCGAGAGGGAAATAGCCTGTTGCTTATGCCAAACAAGGTGCTTTCTTTAGTGATATGTTTTAATTGTTGTTTTTCTATTTTATTTTTTTGTCTTTTTTCTTTCAAAGATCAATGTCTAAGAAAAGCTCATGCATAAATTATATCTGCAGGTTCAGGTTAAAGTTCTTGCCATTTATTGTGATGAAGACAAAGTTACAAGTGCAGGGCCTGGTGAGAATCTGCGAATCCGAATCTCTGGGATTGAAGAAGAGGACATATTATCCGGATTTGTTCTTTCCAGTGTTGGTATGTTTTTACGTTTTTAATGGCAAAACAGTGGTACAAACACTCGCAGATAACTACACTACTAATCTCTTATGCGTTCATATGCCAAATAGGACATACAATTATATTATCTGGATTTGTGTTTTTCTAATTCATTGCTTTATTATTAAGTTATTTAGTTGTAATTCAAAGTTACATGCTGGGTTTGTTGCTAATTGTTGACGTGATTTAATGCAATTATCATACACTTCCATCGGGAAAAATTTTATTATCAATCATCCTTCCAGGAGAGTTTAGATTCACCCAAAATGTCAGTGGGACTTTTTTTATTTATACCAAAGCACATGTTTTCTTTATCATGTTAGAAAAATTGTATCTTTTCTGTGGTTACTTAATCTACAACATAGAATCACACTGTAAAAAGAGGTAATCATTGGTTCATCGAATTCATAAGGGGAGGTAGATACAAGAGAGGATGAATGAATACGGGTGTCAATATGTTGACTTCTGTGCTCGTTTCTGCTTGTCGCCTCTGTGAATGTCTCTCCGTCATGCCTCAGCAGCAAACTGGTCTTCCATTTTCAACTTTTCTGTATATATTTACTGGTCAATATGCTGGCGCGGTATATTGTTTGTAGTCTGCATAGTGCATATTACTGATATATTTATTCGAATTGCATTTTAATGTCTATATGGGATTTAATTTCTTCTCTGTCATGCAGAAAAACCAATATCTGCAGTTCATGAGTTCGTTGCTCAGTTGCATATTCTTGAATTGCTGGATAACGTATGCAGATTGACCTATGATTTCTTTCTCTGACTTTGTTTTATGCTCTATAGATCTTATTGTTTGGTTGGTTAAATGAATTTGAATGCTGCTGTTTTAGGCTATTTTTACTGCTGGGTACAAGGCGGTATTGCACATTCATGCAGTTGTTGAGGAATGCGAGATTCTTGAGCTGATGCAACAAATTGATCCAAAGACTAGGAAACCAATGAAAAAGAAAGTGCTCTTCGTGAAGAATGGTGCCGTCGTCATATGCCGTGTTCAGGTTAGTATAATTAGTTAAAAGGCTTGTTACACTATACACTGTTTTGCAGACTACTACACAAATTTTCTTAAGCATATGATTACATTCTGCTGTTTCTTCTTTCTATACCTTGTGTAATCATTTACTTTAAGGCTCTTTAATATATTCTATTGTCTTTATGCTCTGCCATATAGATATTCAGTTAAGAAAGTTAGGTGAGTTTGTAAAAGTGCAACTGTATCTGATGTTCTGAACTGTGTTGTTTTATTTGATGGAGTTGTAATTTTTACCATGAGCTACCGCACAAGTAAACTCACCTGCAAAGGGATAGTGCACATTCGGCTGTCAATCTTTCAACTGCTTCTTTGTTGCCCCTATTGCAATAAAATTTTACCGCCTATGATGTCATTGTCTTTCTTATTTTCAACATTTCTGACCTATTATTCGTCTTTCAGCCGAAATTGATGGATTACACAGTACTAACCTTGCCCTAAATTTATGAATCTACCCTATAAGGTTAAATAATAACTGACCTGGATGCTAAACTGCCACTAAACATATGAATGCAATACGTGAACAAAAATACTCTCTTTCTCACTCTCACTCTCACATACATATGCATTGAAGTAGTCAATCGCAAGTGAGGTTGGTGATTGTTTGTGTTATGATTATGTATCTTATTTGGTTGTGGTGGCATCAAGTCTGTAAAGAAATGGAAAGCTGTGATGTTCTTGTCATGACAGTGTGAGTGTGTGGCCGTAGATCCTTGTGATGTATATGCACGATCATCGTATGTGCGAATACTGGTCATTGCAATGTAGCTGTTGCTGTTTATCCTCTCTTTTTGTCTCTCATGTTCTTCTTATGGTAATGAGGGCTATCTAGGATTGGTGCTTGGTTCAAGGGGGTTGTATGTCCTTGATTCCTTGTGTATTTCATTAACTTTAGCCAATAAAAGGTAACATAAGCTTGAAGGATTGTAGCACGATCTGATTGAAGAAATGAGAATGTAGCTGTTGCTGTAAAAATGGGGACAGAACCAGATTTTTGTGATCATAGAAACATCGAGGAACTTTTGACTAAGGTTTTTTTTGGAAAATGTTAGGATCGAGAACCTAATAAGCAATATCCTTGTTTTGCATAGTCACAATTCTTCAGGTATACAAAATTGTTTAGACGGAATTGGTGTCCTTGACTTGCCATATTTCACATAGACAAGTGTTATAAACTGAACAGAATCAAGCAAACAATGAACACATAGTACAATGTATTTCACTGATGAAACCAGGAGAATTCTAGCTTTCGAGAGGCTTGCGTCTCTCAAGAACGAACTCACTAATTTTCTGGATACTATTACTCTCCCCCTCATCCCTATTGATGAAATTCCTGACCACTTTATTCTTTAAGTAATTCCCCAAACTGCCCTCTTCTAACAAACTATTCCAAAAGTCCTTGAGTTACCCTTTCCTATTTATAGAACATATTGCGTACTTGCGGGCTTGGGCTTGTAGGTGTGTGTATGACATTATTCCACCGCTGAAGATCCACAAGAAAGAGAGATATCGTTGCTGTCTTTTTACAACATATCCCCAGTTTCAGTTTGGTTCCCTGTCACTCTTTCTTTTCAAAACCAGAGATCAGAGTTCAAAGGCTTTAGCAAGTCTGCTCCTAATGTAATTCGGCCAACTTATAAACTCATCGACATTTCCTATTTAAATATTCTCAACCCGAGGCAAGGTCCTGCAGTTAGGAACAATTCTAACCATGATTCTAAAAAGCGTTCGAGGCATATGCCTTGAGGTGTGCATCAAGTCTGTGGCAGCATCACTAATGGGTTAGTTGAGGTGTATGCCTTGAACCACTGAGGCGGGTCATGAGGCGCCAAAGGCGATGAGGTGAGACCAAGGCGGTGCTGGGGCGGGGGTTAGAAATTAAGGTATAAAAAATGACCTACTAAATTTACTTTTTATTTAAATAAGCCCATTTTGTTGTTCGTCTTCTCCTACTCTCTTGTTGCTTGTAGTTTACATTTGTCTTCTCAGATGTCTTCTCCAGTCTCCCAATTTGCAGAGCATCATGTATATATATTTTATTTCCCACTTCTCCAATTTCCCACTTTGAAGAGTACCGGTAGATATTTAGTATATATATTGTATTATATATATACACATTTCTGCCTCGGGGTTTACGCCTTGGACTGCCTCGACGCTTACGCCTCACCTTGCCGAGGGAAAATGCCTCGAGGCCTGATTCTGCTTTTTTTAAAACCTTGAATCTAACAATTATGTTTCTTATGTTGAGTGGTTTGCTGAACCCTACAGTAGAACATTATCTTCCTCCTCCCATGGATTAGAAAAAATATTCGATTTTTCTTGATTTTAAACTTATCTCCCTCACTTATGCCCTCTTGATCCTTTACCATGTCTTCTTCGTCATCTAGACTGGTCTTAAAGTCAAAAAACTCAGCCACCAGCTTGACATATACTGCCATCCTATTAAATTACAACATACATACGAGCCCTTTTACTCAACAATTCTTCTACCTTGGCATGTTGTTCATGCATCAAGTGTTGGACCCTTCTTTTGCAATTGATGTCTTGATAACGCACCATAAAGGCCTATATCTTTTTCTGTTGAGAGCACCCCACCATTTTGCGACGAACAAGAACGAAAATACTAATTGGGATTAATCTAGGAAATAAGAAGGAAAACACTAATTAGGATTAATCTAGGAAATAATGCAATACAAGACAATTCAACTTGCAATGGTTATATGATTTCCATTAACAAGGACTATGGAACTATGGCAATTCAAGAGGCCATTTCTCTCCAGGTTTACAAGGAAATATCTGCATGCCCCAAAACACACCCAACACCCAGATTATATTAGATTTATTATAAGTAAATTCCCAAACTGCCCTCTAAATATCAGACTTGCTCCCATCCTTCTCGTTCCTTTGAAGTGGTCCCCTTGTCATGTGGTCCTTCCTGTTAGGGGTGTACGTAGGTTGGGTAGGGCGGTTTTTGACATTTTTACAACCCAACCCAGTTATGCCAGTTTGGAAAATCTCAACCCAACCCAACCCATTCCAAAGTATAACCCAATCCAACCTAACCCTTGTGGGTTAGGGCGGGTTAGGTTGGGTTGGCGGGTTACTAAAATTCATAAAGTTGGCAAATGAAATATGATAAATAATACTAAAAATATACCCAACAAAGTCATTAGTTATTACAATCATCCAAAAATATATCTAAATCCTCAAGTCTTGGAATCAAATTTCAAAAGTTTAAATGATAGCATCCGATTCAAATCCTCAATCAAGTACGACCGTCTTGGACCTTTCTGACTCCGATGTTGCATTCTCCTTGAGTTTGTCTACAATTCAAAAAGAATATTAAACCATTTATTAAGAATATATAAGCATGAAATAAGAACCATTGTTAAGTTTATCTTCTTCAAGAAAGTCATAAGATGAAATTTCATCCAAAAATTCACTTATGGTAAGCATAGTCTTTTCCACAATAATTACAGACACATCTAGAGTCCTTTTTTGAAAAGTGATCCCAAACGTTTGTAGTTATACCACCCCTTATCTTAGATGAGTTTGGTTCATCATTGTCTTCGATTTTTGGAGGTTTAGGAGTATTTTCCATTGCTCCTATCCATAGTCAATTAAGGATGTCATTTTCAGAAAATATGCAACTCAGTAAACCACGAGCTATGAAGCATATGATCTGATAGACAAGTAAGTTTCAAGGAGTTTTCATTTAATAAAGTGTTGTTTAGAAGTAGCAGAAAACAAGCAGCCAAGCATGAACTAGGGTTTAGGGTTTAGAAACCGAGTGACAGAAGCCATACCTGTAGCAAGCAAAAGACGATGCTCACAGCAACCACAATCCCGTAGCAAGTAAGCGACCACACTCCCGTAGGCCGTAGCAAGCAGAAAAGGATTCGAGAACTCGAGAAGCAGAATTAGGAGTACGAATTGGGGATGAGAACGAGAGCAGACCGGTTGGTAGCAAGCGAACAACCAAGTCCGGTCGGCAGCAAGCCAACAACTCTGATTCGGTCGGTACTCGGCAGTCACAATTTGTAGATTTGGGGACGCTAGACGAGTAGACGACAGGAGAATGTGAAGTCGAGAACTAAATCAGTGAATTAAATTGGAGTATTGGTCCTATTGGACTTGACCTAGACAATAGTTGGATTAAGTTTGGGCTATAAATTGGACAAGTGATATATGTATTTAATTTTTGGGTTGTACATTAGACTAAAAAATATACATATTTTTGGGCTGTAAATTGTAATTTTGTAAATATCATATATATACATAATTTAATAAAAATAATATATATTAACGGCGGGTTGGCGGTTTGGATTGGGTTCCTAATTAGCGGTTTGGCGGGTTGGGTTGAATTGGGTTGTTAGCGGGTTGGGTTGGGCGCTTGGTTTTAAAAAGCGCGATGCGGTCCGATGCGTTAAGGGTCCCGGAAGCCGATGCGTGATGCTGATGCGCTCGCATCACACGTGATGCGTCCCGTATTCAAAAAATATTTATAAATTAATTCTACATATCAATTTCTACCTTAAAAATACTTACCTATCAAAATACTTCATTTATAACATAAAGTAGTTAAAAAAGTGGGCATTAGAATCTTAAAAAAGTTTGTTTTCTACTTTTTTGCTGGTTGTATCGACAACAACTCACGTCATGTTTTAATTGATATGCGATGCTAGGTCTCTCACAGTGGGACTTCTACTTCTTCGCTGTCGGCTTCTTCTATTAGGTCTCTCACAGTCTCACGTTCTATTTTACTTAACTAAGAAGCCCAACTAAAAAGCCCAACTAAAAACTGAAAAAAGGGAGCCCAAAAATGCAACATACATGATGCGCTGATGCATAATTGATGCACGCATCGTGTGATGCGTAGGTGATGCGAGCGCATCATGGAATCGCAACGCATTAGACCCTTTGATGTGTTTACTTCAGCGCATCACAGCGCATTATGCGCGCATTTTTAAACCAAGGTTGGGCGGGTTTCGCGGGTTGACGGTTTTTTGTACACCCGTGCTTCTTTTCTCCTCCTACTATAAGTAAACCAGACCGGGGTATTTCTAACATGACCTGCCCCCGGAACAGCCACCTTGTCCTCAAGGTGAAAAGCAGGAAAGAGTTGTTGCATGGTTACAAAATCTTCTCATGTTGCTTCAGAGTCAGGCAAGTCCTTCAACTTAAACAAAACCTCCAGTTTCTAACCCACCTCTCTGTCAACCGAACAAACATGTTCTGTTCCCCCACAGCTCTCTTCAAACGTGATATGTGGAAAATGGGGGGGGGGTGTGAACCCTCTTGGAAACTGCAGCTTATATGCAACCTTACCAATTCCCTCTATAATGAGAAATGATCCATAGTAACGAGCCGCCAACTTCTGAAAGCAGACTTTTTGTCTATAAGCAAAAACTGAAGGGCAAATTTTACCAGATGCTTATGTTGGAACGTTGGTTGATAAGAAAAGCCCATAAGAGGAAGTTGGATGTTACTGAAATTGCAGATGCTTATGTTGGATTGGAGACCAAACGAGTTATACCGGACGGTGTTGGGAGTTGCACACATCTCAAATAAGTAGAGGGAAGAACGATGCATTGTTTTGGTCACCTTTGTAGGAGACAATTGGCGGCCCTAATGATAAGCACCTGAAGTTAGACATGATGGCTTTAGGCATTTCTGAGGATATCGCTTATGATAGGAGCTATTGGAGAGGCAAGATAAGGTAGCATACTAGGGGTGAGAATTTGTAGATAGCCTTGATGGGAGGAAGGGATCTGGAGAGTTAGGAAAGGGGTAGTCTTAGTGAGCCAATGAGTTAGGTTAGATTGGGGGGTGTAAGTTATTCCTACCTTGGTTATGTGTTTTTTCGTAGCTGTTTCTGTTATGTTGGTATGTTCTTTTTGTTGTCTACTTGTTTGTTTGTGTGTTGTTGCTTACTCCCAACAGTTTTCACATTTTAGCATTGCATCTCTTATTTTTTAATTCTTATGTTATTTCTAATGAGCTTTCTCTTTTCACACACTTTGCGGAAGCTGGGGGTATTCATGGAAATAGACACACTACTCCTTGAGGCGGGGTGGAAGTCTAGTCTGCGTACATCTCAACCCCTGACCCCAACTCCAGGTCGGATATACCGGGTTCGTTTAGGTTGGTTTGATTTTTGGTCGGCCTGGAGTTTCCACTTCCAGGCAGGAATTCTGTGCTGCATGGCATGTTTCTCATAACTGTGAACAATGGTGGAGGACTTTGTGTAAGATCAAAGGGGCCTTCTGTACTAAATTATTAACTGGAGTGGTTTATATGTCTCTTCAAGAATGGTGTTGTGTGCTGAGTGGAATGTCATTGATCTCATTTGGAGGAATGCACTTATGAGAGAATATTGATGTGTGCATATCAGCCGGAAAGGAAGCAAGGAACACGTAGGGAATATGTTGAAACGAATTGTGAGTTAACATCGTGACCAATTCGGATAACAAGGGCAGAAATAAGTTGGTGACTTTAGCAATCGAAAATGATTTATTTGATTGAAGAGCATGGAAAAATGGATAACATTGAAAGGAAATGTGTGATTACTAGTGGCTTGGTGATTGTCTTATATGTTTGTTATATGGATTTAGATCTCAGGCACCCTCGATCATATTCCCTTTCAGAATTAGTAGTAGTACACGAGCAAACTAGGGACATATAAGATGAAGCATCATGGTGTGTACTGCAGGTTATGTATCGGATAATTTGTTGAGCTTCTGTATTTTTTAATCCTGAATTGGAGCTAAAATGGAACTTGCTCATTGTGGTCAAATTTATCTGGAGAAAGGGCATTTTCTCTGCATTCTGAAGCTAGGATGAGTATGCTGGTGCATGTACCTTCTCTTGCGGATAAATAGAAGTAAAAGTTGGTTCATTATATATCCTATGCTAGTCCTCAAACTATACCATCTCTTTGTGAATGGCGGTCATTTTGACCTTAATGGAGATGGAGTCATTATTGGTCTTCATTTTGGTCCATTTGTTGTTGCCATATAAAATATTTTCTGCTTTTTTTAGAGGAATGATATCAATTAATAATTAAAAAAGAGCCCATTAGCACCAAATCTGCAGATTATGTTTATTTTTTTCGTTGTAACTTTTATTTCTTTGTTTAACTTTCAATAATTCTGTTTCTTCTTGATATGTACTTCCCAGGTGTCTAATATGATATGCATCGAAAAGTTCTCTGATTATCAACAACTTGGCCGGTTCACACTTCGTACCGAAGGTTAGAAACTGATGACAAGCTCTGTAATCAAATCCATTGATAACTAGCCTTTCCATCATAAAAGGGATGAGGTCAGAGCAACCATCAGTTAAAGTAATGCGTTTGTCGTAATGCTGCAGGGAAAACAGTTGCCATTGGAAAAGTTACTGAACTTGGTGCATAATCAATTTTGTCAGAGAAGGTAAACTTACATAATCTATTGACTAGTCTATTAAGTGAGGTTTTTAAAATATTACACCTGATTCAGAACAAAAACTGCTCTATTCCATCGCGACTAGTTTCTGCATATACTACTGTGGGAGGAGCAAGTTAAGCAATGTTTGGCAACCACAAGCTCTAATTGAAAAAGCCCCATTTGGTAAGCCATAAGTTAGAATAAGCGTTTCAATAAGCTCCAGGTTTTCTTTTTTGTTTGTTTTTTTAGTTCCAATTATCTTTTACATAAATGACCAAAAACCCTATCCTTTTAGATAATCTGATAGATACATTGCCATCTAGCATGTCGTTTTTTCTTTTCTTTTTTGTTTTGTTTTGTTTTTATCACCAAACATGACCATTTTAATCTAACAACGAGTTTCTCAACCAATTCAGCTAGTTTGCCAAACATAACCTTACTCCCCCTCCCCCCGAAAAAAAGGTCTTTGCTTCGGGACCCTTGTCCTATCTTACAGCTACTAAGCAACCAATTATATTTTACAGTGAAGAAGTCAACTTGTATGAGTGTATATTTTTTTTTCATGGAGATATGCAAAAGTCTGTTGAGGAAGAAAGAACATGGATCACATCAAAGCATTTCAAGGATTTATTAATTGTTGTTTAAATGATACAGGCTAACAGGGAGCAGAGTTTAGATTCAGATTAAGGGGATCAAACATTAGATTCAGAGCACCACATTAAACAATTATTCATCATTTAGGAGCGTGTGTTGTTGTTGCTGCTGGCACATATTGCACAGATATAAGGGGATTACACTTGTGGAAGGAGAGCTGCTGGCAATCACTTGTTTGAATATGAAGTGTTGTATGCCTAACATTATGAATTATGACACTTGATCAACCTAATTGTGATTTGTTTCAAGTACAGGTTATGATATATTATTATAACCACTATTTATTTATTTATTATCCATTGTTTGAATGTCTACAACTTGGTTAAGGTTTTTGGACCAACTTGTATGTATCTTGTTGCCCAGAAGTTAAATTGGGCATGCTCAAGGCAATCTATACATGGTAATGAGATAAACTTGCAAATTCAGCGCACAAACTTGTATAGAATGTCATAATAGATGTATGCGGCCAAACCAAAGCGACCTGCGCAGTAGCCACGTTACTTACAACCTTGCAAGACTGTCCATTCTTGCAATGTCTCTTACGTTATCCTGGATGGCATGGTTGGATTGCAAAACATGGATTTGAAGCTACCAACACGAGGTCAGTTGACTTACTTAGTCTTGAAGTCTGTTGCATGTGATTGTGATTATGATTAATTGAAGGTTGGTTCTTGAAATGGCAATGGCAAAGTTCCCAAGTTATACATTATGATTTTATTTTTGTCGAAAGTTCAACCAATGAGAGTTTTTGGTGGACAAAAAGAAGAGCATAAAGGCTTGACGACCGGTTGGGATATGGTTACACTTGATAGGTTATAATTGTTTGATACTTGATCCCGATCATATATGATTGTTTTGATAACGGTTAAGCAATCATTTAAGGTTAACAAGTTAGGACCGGTTAAATCGTGGTTGTGACTTGTTAAAAGTGGAGGAGGTCTTAAGAACCAGTTACATATTTTGTTTTAGAAATCAGTTATGCCATAAATGGTTAGTTGATGATGTTTTCGGACTTTGACCAGTTATAACCGATCATAACAGGCACCATTTAATTTGTTGATGTAAGATAATTGTATCCAAGGGATATATAAATCATATTGAATTACCAAATATTTGAGTCGATAATTCCGAATAATGTTGAATTAGCTTGATGGAATGTAAACATCAAAGTATTTTAATCTGGAATTGTATTCCGTTGTAAAAAACCAATTCATAAGCAGAAGCGATAAATCCAAGCCCACCACTTGAAGGTTTTATGTATTATTGTATAATTTATAAACATAATAAATTATTATGTATGACTTAGAGTTGATATCAGAGTCTTGTCTAGAACTCATGATATTCCTCTAAAGAAACTGAATTAGATTACTTCTTATGAAATAAATCAATTTCTTATAATCCACATTGTAATAAATAAAAATTAAATCTTGAAATCCGTATCATAAATATTTGAATGGAACTTTTCAAGTTGAATAAACATACTACAACTATATAAATGCTCATATGCAATTCATGTTTGTACAACATATATACAATATTTGTTTTGAGCAATATTGAAAATCCACAAAGGTTATATAATGTTCTTGCACACATATGTTAAGATTATCTTATTTTTGTATCTCTTTTTGAATGATTATTTAATTTGAGATTCTATCCACAAGAGACTTTAGTTATATATGTTAAAGATTATCTTATTCTTGTATCTCTGTGATTATTTTTTCCAGCTCTTGTTCCCGTTAACTTAATGAACAAAGTACCAAATAGGAAAGAACTCCATAAATCGTGAAGAAATGTAACAAATTAACCCTTATGTTCATGCAAATGACCATTTTTCCAAACATCAAGTCCTCTTAATTAGGGACTTACCTTGGATATTGTTGCATAATGATTCTTGTGCTTCTGCTAGCTTGCTCACATGAGCATTGGTTGCGAGATAATGTGGTAGCAGGTGCCTCTTGACTTCGGATACAATCTCTTTAGTCTTTGTCACAAAGTTGATTTTTGTGGACTTTTGGAGAATAGTTGTCAAACTCTTGAAGAATGGCTTTTGTAATAGAATCAGAAGTAGAGGCTGGAGTTCTTGAGTTTGTCATAGAGCTTTGATCTCCTTGGTGAAAGAGTTGAAGTCTGCTGCAGAGATGGATGGTGCAGAGATAGAGGCAACACATGTTTCTAATTTAGATCTTCCAAGGATCTCTGTATTGAATCAACAAATGCCATGAACTATGTGCTTGTGATTAACGCATACGCAAGGGTAACATTACTAACAACACACGTTTCTAATTTAGCCTCGAATTTAAAGGAACCTTCTTTTAATATTTTTTTAGTATTGATATTGGAAGGACTTCCACCCTTTCCTTGCGTCTCTAGATATGGAGACACTCAAGGTGTTCTACATCTATTTCATTATCCTCAAATTTAGATTCAGAGGAGTGAAAGTAGACATGTGTGCCCGTCGATAAGGCATGTATCAAGGGATTCTGTGCATGAAGAGATAATTGCTCTGAATGATCTTGTGGTATTCCAAGAACTGTGTGATCAGAAGCAACAAATGCTTCTATGGTTTGTGTCGTGTCTTGAGGCGAAAGGACATTTATATTTGAAGCAACATCATTTTGAAAGGATGAAGCTTGATTGTGGGATTACTCAAATAAGTGCAATACAGAGACAACTTGAGTGGTCTCTAAATGGTTGGAATGGGGTTCTGGGCTCAAATTGAGCAAAGGTCCTTTTTCAATATCTCCAAGTGCTTGCTCACTTGGTATAGCAGATGTGGTAGCTCTCGGTGGACTCGATTGTATTCACTCATTTGGGCCTCAATTAGCCTCTTGTCTCATTCTCGGGTTCAAAACTCTCAGATGTACTCTTTTCATCTTTTTCCTGACCCTCTGACCCCTCACTAGATATAGTAGCTCTATGCACTCTATGGTAATAGCCCTTGGTTTGAAGGACTTGTAGATAAGGAGAAAGGTTGTTCTTTAGAGTTTCTGAAGCTGCTAAGTACTTATCTGGAACTCTGAGGCAAATCCAAATGTTACTAGAGAAGAAAAAGGAAAAGATAAATTAGAATATGGACCTTATAGACAAGATGGTTCACCTAATTCAAGCTCAATTGAAAAATAGGAATTTAATCATGTTAAGATTTATGAAAACTCTGAGAGAACATGGTTTTGATGTGTATAGACAAATTTGAACCAAAGGGGAGATTGTTGAAAAAAGAAGTTGGTTCAAAGTTATGCAAATTTTCTAAGAGTTGAAAGTCTGAAGATTTGAATTCAGAGTTAGTTAAGAGTGCGGATATAACTTTGAATGATGAATCCATAGTTCAATATCAATTCTAAAGCAATGTTTCTAGAGTTTGAAAGTGAAGGAAAGTCTAAGTGTAGTCTTCAAATTTCTCGAGATTGAAGATTGAAGACAAGATACTAGGACACATGTTAGATATTCATTTGTTTGTATTGTAATGTATTGTGTCTTTAGCCTAGCCTTTCTTGTATAAATAGAGGTTTGATGGATCTATTTTAGTAATGATCTTAACAGCTTTTCTCAGATAGATACATTTGTATAGATACTCTCAAGATTCATTCTGTACTCGTTCATTATTGAATAATCAATTACATGATGACTTCCTCATTCATATTCTGTTTGTGATTGGATTTCTTAAATATCTTGTTCATAATCAATTCATGGGATCTTTCAGTATGAAAAAGCTTCAAGTGTTGGATTCTAGAACCTGTATTCAAGAAGAACCAGAGCCGTAACCAATAGATATCTCGACAAAGCAGAGCCCACTGCCTATCTCTGTATCTAGTTGTGGATCCAACACATCTTCTCTGCTGAACAAGTATGAAGCTTGCGTGCCTCAACCGTTCTCGCCCAAAGTTTGTTAGAGCACCTTTACGTGTGGATTCGCCTCATTGGTAGATGTTTTGACTTTCCTTTTTATGTGTATAAATAGGAGCTCATGCTTAGTTCATTATGAGTACGATTTCTATTACACATTAGCTAAGTATTCTTTGTACTTATGGTCCTCATGATCTATCTTAAGATGATGTAATTCAAATCTTCATATAAATACACATCATGACAATGGTGATTTCTACATATTTGTGATATCACATTGTTGTTCTTCATATAAATTGCTCATACCCTTTTTGATTTATTTGCTTTTGCCAATATCATTTATTGTTTAGACCGTAATTGAGAAATCTAGAACCAACAATTAGTATAAAACATATTGATTCTTCAAATCAAATGATTGATTTATCATATTGATCTGTTTTCTCAATTACTGGGTATTTTCTTCAAATCTACATTTCTCGAATTAGAAAACCTTGTTTTCATAGTTTTCTGTTTCAGATTTATAATACTGTGATTATTGTTGGGTATTTCGTTTTGAAGAGCATTTGTATTGATTTTGAGCTTAAGATGGCTAATTCAAACTCGAATTCAGCTTATAGTGTGGGTTCTCTCACTAAACCTCCTACTCTCCAAAGGGATGAATATCCTCAATGTAAGATTCAAATGATGAATTTCTTCAAAAGGATGGACAATAAATTGTACAAATTTGTTCCTAAATGGCTCTTTTATTCCACAAATCCTTATTCCTCGTGTTCCTACTGTAGGAAACACTGTTGAATTTCCCGCTTATTACATCACTAAAGATGAAACAAACTGGGATACTGAAGAAGTTGCAAAAATAGAGGTGGATCGCAAGGCCAAACGATTGCTTATTATGGCCATTTTCCCAATGAGATTTTTCAATCTCTGAACTCCTATAATAATGCCAAGGAGAGGTGGGATGAACTTGCGAGTCAACTTGAAGGTGGTGCAAAGACAAAAAAGAATAAGTGAGCTCAATACCTAAATGATTACACCAACTTCAAGGCATTACCAGATGAATTCATAAAGAAGACATGATCATTTTGATACCTTGATCAATCAATGCAAGAAAAACAACATCATTAGCTTTCAACTCAAACACGAATTCCAGCAGACAATACTGTAGGGATGCTATAACAAGCAGTTAGCCATAACTTAGTTCCACCATCTATTTTGAGGGTAATCCTCTCAGGCTTTCACCATTGCACTATATTATAGCTTTCAACTCATATCTCTATGTGGTATCAGGACCAGGGATGGTGACGAATGGTGTCCTCAAAATATATGGATAAACAAATCTCTTTCTTAAAAATCACTTCTCGAGCCGATTCATATATCATTCAAGTTGGCATGTGTTCTAGGTAGTTCATATCTGAATTTACCGCACTTTAACACCTTAACAAGTGACCAATCTGTCGAGAATTGATTAGTT